ATCACAAGGTTGGAAAGGACCTACAAGATCATCTAGTCCAACCATCCTCCCATTACCATTGCTACCACAAACCACTAAACCAGATCTATTAGCTCCTCATCCAGGTGCCTCTTGAACACTGCCAGGGACGGCGACTCTACCACCTCCCTGGGCAGCCATTCCACAACCTGACCACTCTCTGAGAGAAAAAGATTTTCCCTATGTCTAATCTAAACCTCCTCTGGTACAACTTGTGGCCATTTCCTTGGGTCCTGTTTGTTGCCTGGGAGAAGAAGCCAAACCCCTCCTCATCACAACTTCCATTCATGAAGTTGTAGAGTGCAATTAGGTCTGCCCTGAGCCTCCTCTTCTCCAGACTAAACAATCCCAGCTTCCTCAGCCGCTCCTCATAAGACTTGTGCTCCAGACAATCACCAGTTTCGTTGCCCTTCTCTGGACATGTTCCAGGGCCTCAATGTCTTTTTTTGTAGTGAAGGAATGTAGAATCATTGTAGTGAGTGATGTAGAATCATTCTTTTTCAGGGTATTTATGTTTTGGACTATTTCTGGAATGAATCCTGATATTTGAAAACCACTGATATCTGCCACAATCATTTTGGATGGTACTTGGGCTGGGGAGACCGCGTTTGGTTGTCTTACCTCTACACTCTGCAGGTAAAGATAGGGTAAAACTGGTGCTTGGGCTAAAAGGAAAGAAGCTTTCCAGAAACGTTCTCTCTAGCAGATTGGTGTTTATTTTATTTTCTTTCCTTACAGCTTGAATTCTGACTATTACAACACTCTCTGTAATAATTTCATTGTAGGACAGCTTTCCGTCCTCGAATGGAATTAACATCATCTCTCTCCTTTTGTACCTCTTTCTGTCACTGTTGTTTCATCTGTGTATTTTTTGTAATTCCCTTCAGTCCCTTTCTGTACTCCTTTCTGTTGGATGGTCGTTTGACTGGTTTGTTTTTCTCCTCCCCCTTTCCCATTTGGTCAGCATCCTCACAATTTCTCCCTTTTTCTTGTGTAACCTAAGAAATGCAGCAGTGGAAAGAAAGGAGATGTATGATGCAGGATTTCCTGAAAAAGATTCCATGTTACTACTGATAGGATAAATTTTGGTGCTCTTTCTAATACTCTGTCCTGGGAGAGAATTCGTCTGGCACCCTGGGTCTATTTTTAAAGTAAATCACTGGATGTCTCTGTTCTGTCTCCTAGGGTTTATATTTGGTTTACCACCCTGTGCAACTCTGCACAGCTAATGCCATCAGGATCTTGGCGTTGGACTTAGTTGGCTATTATATCTTCAGAATGACAAACCACCAGAAAGATCTCTTCCATTGTACCAGTGGCAACTGCAAGATATGGGGCGAGAAGCCCGACTACACTGAGTGCTCCTACATGTCTGTGGATGGGACCAAGTACTACAGCAAGCTGCTGACCTCGGGGTTCTGGGAGTGGGCACGCCATTTTAACTACACTGGAGATCTGATGGGCTCCCTGGCCTATTATCTGACCTGTGGGTTTGAACACTTGCCTTACTTCTACATTGTTTATATGACTGTTCTGCTAACTCACCGTTGCATTAGAGATGAACATCGTTGTTATAGCAAATACGGGAAAGACTGGAAACGCTACACTGCTGCAGTACCCTACTGGCTCATACCAGGGCTGTTTTAAGGCTGACACGGAATCTGAGGGAAATAAACTTTCTTTTAAATGAAAAGAGCTTATTCACACAGATAAACTAACAAAAATATGTTGGAAAAGACACCATTCTCTGGGGAACAAAAGATGCCTGGAAAACTATCCATAATGTACTAAGGGAACATGCCCTGCCTGGTAAGCAGGCAGATTGTTTAAAGAAAATGAAACAAGGCACAGAATTGGCCTTTTTAATAGACATCTGTAGAAAGATCAGTTTTACCAGGAACTCTTCTTTCCTCTCTCAGAAGTACCTCGGAATTGAAGAAAAGTTGCATGTGTTTAGACTCCTGAGATCTCTCCAGTGCTGCGAGTAGGCCTTCACTCTTCACAGCAGCCAAGTACTTGAAGCCAGTTACCAGTGAATTAGAGGAGGAGGGAAATAATGGTGTGATCGCTTCAGGAAAGGAACAGTATTTTTGCTTGTGACAGTAATAACCTTCAGTGGGTAATGCTCTGAAGGAGGCTTCAGGTTTGCTTTTGAAGAGGTTAACCTGGGAAATATCTAAACTGGTGTTTCAGAAGATTGGTGTATACTGACTCACAGGTGGTTTGCGCAGGCTGATGTAAATTGGTATGGCTCAATAATTCCATTAGCACTGGAGATACGTGGTCCGTGAGCAAGCGGTTATTATTGTGATACTGAAACCAAACTTGATTTTTGAGTATAGGTTGATTTCTTTACTGTGGATAGAAAACTTTGTTCACTGTCATTTTTATCTAAAATAATGTTTGATGTTTGTAATATTTTGAGAAGTAATAGCTTAGTTTGAAGACAAGTAAGAAAAATACAGCCAATTTTCCTTTTAGCTGTTTCTTTTCTTGTTAATGGTTATCTTTCAAAGTTACAGGATTCAAGAGGAACTCCTGGAAGAATACAGTCCAAGGAGCAAATTCAAGAATGCAGAAGGGAATCACAAATAAAAAGGGGGATCAGAATAGTAACTATGCTTGTAATGAGTTGGTAGCTGTGTTCACATAAATACACCATCTTTACAGTAGGTAGGGAATTGTATGAACTGATGTCTTGTAGGAGTTGCTGAATGCACTGGCAGATACGAATGTGGTGTGTTGGAATGCCTTTTAGTTCTGTTGCAGTGTTCCTGAAGGGTTGGCTTTCCCAGGTGACTTTCTCCAGCTCTCGAGAACAAATGCAGCGTGAGGCTGGGCTGTGTCTCGGGGCGGGGTTTACAAGTGTGCCTAGAGATGCCTTCGTAGAGAAACCTAACTCTATCGCCAGTACTATCTCTAGGCCTGATAACTGTTGTATCATTGGCAGATAATCATGAAATACGTTGGCGTGTATTGATACTGAGCTAGGAGTAGCTGCGTCTGACCATTTCTACTCTCTAATTCTAAAGTATTCCTGTGGAGTGAAAAAACTTCTCTGTTAAGATGAACCTCAATAGTTCACCAAGGAGCACTGCTTGTAATATGTGAGAGCGCTTGTTTCAGAGGAAGGGGAGATAGAGTGTAGGATTCAAGGGCTGATGGAACCCATCAATTGCTGGCACCTCACTGCTTAGGCTGACCCAGATTTTGCTGGAGTAATTGGATAGTTTCTTTTCTCAACTTGCCAGAGACCACATACTTATATCCTTTTCTTGAGTAGCCTTGGAAATTGTACTGACAGCATGCTCTTAATGCCAAGACCCTTTTAATATTGCAAGATAATCTGAGCTCTAAATCATGATAGCCTTGCACAGCACGGCATGTTCCTGTCTTTTCACTGACAAATCCTGGCTGACCAAGGGAACTGAAAACATATTTACGTCACAAAAAAACCACCACCATAAACTTAATAGTTCCATGTTGCAGTGATCACACTTCTTCCATGGGAGGTTTTGTAGAGGACCTGAGAATGATTACAAGAAAACAGCACACAGAAACTGTTGCAAGTAGAGATAATGAAATGGGGATCATTTCAGAAGGGAAAGGTACAAGCGAAAAAGGTTTTGCAGAACTCAGAAGTAACAAATGAAACACCTTTCACAAAAATGTGGGATTACACCCTGGAGCCTGTAGCAACTGGAAATTGTTGAAGTAGATGATTTCAATTACTTTTTAAACCACAGTCATTTATTTTTGTTATCCAAAGCTATGAGCTGATAACAAAAGCTGCAAGAGTTAGCTAGCTTACTCAAGTTCGAGGTTTTGACAAAGTTGAGACACATTTCTGTATTAGTTCAGAAGAGTTACAGGGGAGGTGACTAATTCACAGTTGGGTAATGTAGATGTCCATTTCGGAAGCCTTTTTGGCCAAGCAGGACATTGAACTGGATAGACCACTGATTCGATCCAGTTTAGTAAATCGTAGGTGTTTTTATTAAAAATACAATAAAAGGAAAGGGAAGGGAAGGGAAGGGAAGGGAAGGGGAAGGGGAAGGGGAAGGGGAAGGGGAAGGGGAAGGGGAAGGGGAAGGGGAAGGGGAAGGGAACCAGTACAATATTGTGTAAAACTTCAAGTTAAGTTACAGTTGCAGCAGAGCAAGATAGCTGCTTTCAGGACAACCATCTGAGTGTTCTCCTTGCCCTGTTTCTGCTAAACTTCCCTTTTGCATTATCAGCCATCAGCTGATAAGCTCAAAGAGACTGACCATGTGGAGTTGCTTTGTCCCAATGGGTTCTATTGCTGTCTAGCAGAAAACACTTAGCAGACCAGGACATCCCTAACCTTTAAAAGGTTGGTTCTCTAAAAGATGCTTTTATTAGTTGAAAGGCAGCAGCCTGCTTCTGTCTGATGTGCTTTGCTTTGCTTTGCTTTGCTCATGATACTCAGGAGAGCTGGCTCTCAATCATACATGGCAGTTACCTCACAGCTGTTAGTACAGTTTGGGATGAGTGGCAGTGCAGAATCCTTGGCCAGTGCCCGTGGGCTTCCTTGCATCCCAGGGCACGTCAGCTATTGCCTTACCCCTCGGTGCCTCCCTGCTCCTGGCAGTGAGTAGCTGTGCACAGATAACTTGGAAAAAGAAGATTGCTTAGGACAATTGCTCAGGGAATGCACACAACACATTTTATTTACATTTAACAAACAGTTCTTGTTTTATTTTATGGGTGTGAGGGGAGGAAAAGTTAAAATGTGGCTTCTGTTGGCAGTTTTTGGTGGTGTTATTCCTGTGGTCCCATAAAAAGTCCTTGCACAGCAGTCCTGGAGAACAAATTTAGGAGAGAGAAAATATGGAAACAGAATGGCTCCTATCTGTGCCCTCTAATTTTTTTCACCTCACAAAAGATATACTCTGAAAATCTTATTACTTAGACTGCTTTGTAAAGCATCATCATGAAAAGCAATAAGGGAGAATGTCAAATGCAGATGATGTTTTGCTAAATTAAAAAAGCATTTTACTCTTTAAATTTCAATTTTTGTACACTTTCATCTGGCTTAATGGCATTTTGTTCCACTTATTTTTTGGTCCTTTGCTCAGTAAAGTGAATGCAAAATGCAATTTGGAAACTGCTAAACACCCACTGTTTACTGTTATCTAATCAAAATGACACTAATCACAGACACTTGTAAAAGGTTGTCTGGAAGGGAGAATGATTGTTTCAGGACTTTGGAAGAAAATGCACTTACTCCAAGCCTTGCAGTCTCCTAAGGATTGTGAACAAATCAAAGTTGATTTGCTCATGCAAACACTCAAGTACTTTAACCAAATCCACTTGGTAGAAATAAAGGAGATGTGTGAACAGCTCAGCATTACTGTCACACTGCAGCATGGTGCAAAAAAAACCAGAACGGTTCTGAGTCAGTTTGTTGTCCTCAGGCAGTTAACAGAGGCTTTGCCTGAGCTTACTTTGTCAGTGTATGCTGGCAGATAGTACAACTGATTGGCAATAAAAATCACTGCCCCCTGCCCACAAATACAACATGACAATATTTAATTTCAAGTGAAAATTTGTCTGTCTGCTCAGCAAGAACCAACTCTTGCCTACTGTTGGGAGCTTTGCTCTAGAATTCTGCAAATTCAAACATGGTTTCTTCTATAAAGCCAGCTGTATGTGCAGTAGAAGAAAATCCTTTCTTCCTCCTTCTAAAAAGTTTCTTATAGATTAGCAAAAACGATGCTAGAGATCAGACCCACAGGCAACAAACATTAGAAGCTATCAAATTGAAAAGTGCCAGTGTACTACTGTAAGTACTGCTACCAATAGCCTTATGCAGAGAATCTCTGCTGAACTAACTTCTATTTTAACAAATGAGAACTTCTTGTACGCCAGATTCTTAAACTGGAAAACAGACTCTTCTTCAGTTACATTTTTGTGCATCTGCATTCTGGCATCCATTATATATCAATTACAGGCCAGTCAGCCTCACCACTGTCCCTGGAAAGGTGATGGAACAGCTTTTGCTGGATGCCATCTCCAGAAACTGGAAGAAAAGGAGGTTATCATGAGTAGTCGGCACGGGTTCACCAGGGGGAGGTCATGCTTGACCAACTTGGTAGCCTTCTATAATGTTGTCACTGGCTGGGTGGATGGGGGGAGAGCAGTGGATGTAGTCTACCTTGATTTCAAGGCATTTGATACTGTCTCCCACTACATCCTTACAACAAAGCTGAATAAGTGTTGGATAGATGAGTGAACAGTGAGGTGAGAACTGGCTGACTGGCACAGCACAGAGGGTCGTCGCTGGCGGTGCAGAGTCTGGTTGGAGACCAGCAACTAGCACTGTTCCTCAGGGGTCTGTGCTGGGTCCAGTCTTGTTCAACATCTTCATCAATGACCTTGATGAGGGGATAGTGGCCACCCTCAGCAAGTTTGCCAATGATATGAAGTTGGGAGGATTGGCTGACACACTTGAAGGCTGTGCTGCCATCCAGAGAGACCTGGACAGGCTGGAGAGCTGGGCAGTAAGAAAGCAGATGAGGTTTAACAAAAGCAAGTGTAGAGTCTTGCATCTAGGGAGGAACAATTGCATGCACCAGTGCAGGTTGGGGGATGACCTGCTGGAGAGGAGCTCTGCAGAGAGGGACCTGGGTGTTCTGGTGGACAGCAGGTTGGCCATGAGCCAGCAGTGTGCCCTTGTGGCCAAAAAGGCCAATGGCATTCTGGGGTGCATTAAAAAGAGCGTGGCCAGCAGGTCGAGGGAGGCGATCCTCCCCTTCTACTCTGCCCTGGTAAGGCCTCATCTGGAGTACTGTGTCCAGTTCTGGGCTCCCCAGTACAAAAAAGACAGGGATCTCTTGGAAAGAGCCCAGCGGAGAGCCGCAAAGATGGTGAAGGGCCTGGAGCATCTCCCCTATGAAGAAAGGCTAAGTGAACTGGGTCTGTTTAGCCTTGAGAAAAGAAGACTGAGAGGGGACCTGATCCAGGTCTATAAATATCTAAGGTGTGGGGGGCGGAGTGGCGAGGCCAGACTCTTTTCAGCAGTGTGCGGAGACAGGACAAGGGGATATGGCCAGAAACTGCAGCATAGGAAGTTCTGCACAAATGTGCACAAGAACTTCTTTACGGTGAGGGTGACGGAGCACTGGAACAGGCTGCCCAGGGAGGTTGTGGAGTCTCCTTCTCTGGAGATAGTCAAGACCCGCCTGGACCGCACCTTCTTGTGCAACCTGGTGTAGGGAACCTGCTTTGGCAGGGGGGTAGGACTCAATGATCTCCAGAGGTCCCTTCCAACCCCTCCGATTCTGTGATTCTGTGGTTCAAGGTAGCAAAATGCCTACCAAATCTTTGTGCTGTTTTGTTTCTTCCTAAGCTTCCCTAACGTGAGCTCTACATTCAGAGCATAGAAAATATTTTTTGATGCCAAGCTAAGTTAAAGCTCTAAATATTTATGAAGTGGAGCTGCTTTGGTATCTATTTATGTAGCAGTTGTGCATACAGAAGGGAAATCTGTATTAACATGTCAGCTAGAATTTGATTTTGCATTAATTCTGAGGCACCTGGATTGCTAACAGAACTTGCAGCCTAGCGGTACCCACATCTGTTCTTCTGTCCTTTCAACGCTGGGAAAGCAAGCAGTAGTAGTGCATACATCTTTCGGTACCTTTGTTCAGAACTATTTTCTCTTTACCAACTCATTCAACATATCCTAGAGAAAGAAACATTTTCTGCTTGCATCAGGTTTTGACAGTTCAGATGTCTGAACTGAAACTTTCAAGCACTGAAAGGCCACAATGAGGTCTCCCAGCAGCCTGCTCTTCTCCAACCTAAACGAGCCCAGTTCCCTCAGCCTTACTTCATAGCAGAGGTGCTCCAGCCTTCTGAGCATCCTCGCAGCCCTCCTCCGGACCCGTTCCCACACTTCCTTGTTTTTCTCGTGTTAGGGGCCCCAGGTCTGCACGCAGTACCCCAGCTGAAGCAGCCGCACTTTGCCTACCTTCGCCGTTCTCTCGGTAACTCTCGGCCCCGCCCCGCGTGCCGGTAACCAGGAAGCAGGAAGCAGCGGAGCTCAGCCGGCGGCATGGCCGGGGGTGGCCCAGCGGTGAGGGCCTCGGGGCGGGCGCTGGGGGCCGGCAGCCGCCGTGGGGGTGGTGAGAGCCGGGGGACGGACGGCTTATGCCGAAGGCTCTTTGGAGCCTGGGCTCGTGTCAGGCCTGGGGGGACCCTGCGGTGTGCGGCTGTGTGCGGCTGTGTGCGGCTGTGTGCGGGGGCATGCTCTGCTGGTGCCGGGCGGCTTCCTAGCGCTGCGGCTACGGGTGGTGGTTTGTAGCGTGCCGTCGCTGCTCTGGGAAGGGTGTGCTGCTGGCAGCTGGTTTTGCAAGAGATTATTAAATCCCCGTGTAGTTTTGTCTCATAGAACGTAATTGTGTCATTTCTGTCCTCCCACATTTGCACTCGGAGTGGAAGCTCCAAGTTTCGCTTGTGTTTGAAACCCACTTCCTTAGTTATATTAGATTCGTTCGGGTTGGAGAAGACCTGAGATCCCTGACCCACCCGTACCGTGCCCGGTGCCCCTCAGTGTCGCATCTCCACAGATACGCGTGGCAAGAAGGGTGCCTTTTGAAGGGGGAGGTATGGTGTCCAGCATTGGCATGATGTTTGCTGATGGACATTTTGTTAACCAGCAGTGTAAAAACCATTGCCGTGGGCCTCACCGACCTCACGTGCACAGCTGCCGTAGCATCTGCAGAGAGAAGGATGTGCTGGTGCTGCCAGGACTGCAGCCGATCGCTGAAGACCCTGGCATGTGTGATATTGTGAAGGCTACACAGTAAGTGTTTGTCTTACATGGGCAGAGTTTTGAAATAGGTGTTTCCTATTCCATATGGGATTTTATAAATTGAAAATGTCAGGGCTCTGTTGTCACCTGCTTGTCCAAGAGAAATCACTTGAAGCATATATACTATTATCAGCATATATACTATTATCAGCATATATACTATTATCAGCATATATACTATTATAAATATTTCAACCGAGTCTGTTCTGCTAGGTAAAAAATTCTACGTATTGAGGCTCAGACCAGCTCTTTTTGCAAAAAGTCTGTTGAATGCAAAGTGGAGCTCTTGAGAAAGACTTACAGAGATTGAATTTTTCATGTGTGTGACGCTGTTTAACATGGGAAATATTTAAAATAAAGTCAGTTGTTTTCCTCATTTAAGGTATGGAATGATAGAGCGGTGCAAAGAACTGGTGGAAGCAGGATACGATGTTCGACAACCAGACAAAGAAAATGTGACTCTTCTTCACTGGGCAGCAATAAACAACAGACAGGAGCTGGTTAAGTAAGCTCTGTAGGCCATGGGAAAGTATCTTGAGCATTCTGTCGCTATTGATCATGAGTGCTTTAAGCCACAGTGTGTGCTGCTTGAGGGAAAAAGCTTAAAATTTGAATTTTAACACAACTACCTTTGTGAAAATGTCACTGAGAAGTAGTTACCACACTTCCTTTCTTCCTGATATTAAGTGGTACATGAAATCATTAGCTTTTCCTGGATTTGTTTCATTTGACAGAGATTAAAATTGACTTTGTAAGGGCCTTGCTACTTACTGTGTATTTTCTTAGGCGTTTTTTCAAAGCAGCATCCTTCTCTGGAAAAATATTGTCATCCTTTTGCTTTTCTAGAGAAAACTTGTTTATTGCAAGCCACTTGCCACTACGCCTATGTTATCCTCAGCATAATATTTTCATGCTTTATCATGTGCTATCTTAATCTTGTTCTCTTGCTGTTATGTAGGTACTATATTTCTAAAGGTGCAGTAGTGGATCAGCTAGGTGGAGACTTGAATTCAACTCCCCTTCACTGGGCCATTAGGTATGCTGCTTGCTACTACTAAAAATAAATCTGCGGGTCTTAACAGTAGCGTTTTGTGTAGCGTAGCTGTTGTCATCTTAAATAAATTGATGTGTGTTTCCTTTGCTGAGTTATGCAGAACTTGATAGCATATTCATAATTACACTGAAATCTTTTCTCTGATTCTTGGCAACTTTGCAGGCCACCAGGTTGTGTTATGCATGTATCTGTACTTCAGGCAGACCTGCATTTTGAACTTTTCCCAGGGCAGTGCTGGTCAGACTTGGCCTGCCTCTTAAGTCCTACCCAATTCTCTGATGTAGACCGTTGGCTTAAGAAAAAATTATAAGATTTTCTTCATGAAAGTATAAGAACCTGAGATGATTTTTCTATGAGTATTTTTGTTATTGCTGTAGTTTCATATATTGTTACAGACAAGGACACCTACCCATGGTCATATTATTGTTGAAGTGTGGAGCGGATCCCAGCCTTATTGACGGGGAAGGATTCAGCAGCATTCACTTGGCAGTGCTGTTTCAACACGTGCCCATTGTAGCTTACCTCATATCAAAGAGCCAGGTACATTGCCAGTGTCCCAGGTGTTATTTTCTGCTTAGAAGTAGCTGGTTGTACTCTGAAATTACCTTGTGGAATTTAAATTTTATCTCCTAAAGTACAGGCATGTGTTTGGTATTTCACCGTGCTATACGTGCTATGTTTAAATAATTATGTGTTGACACATGATCATATTTTGTTCTTTTAATGAACAGGATTTATGTACTTGAACATTCAGTTATGCACTTTATTCCTTTACACAAGGAAGATATTTATTGTTGCTTTCCAAAGTAGAGTTTATTTATATTATTTTTTTATCAAGAGGGGACAGGAAATATTGTTAATTGAAGGAATTGTAGAGATGAATTTGATTCCTTTTAAAGTAACTTTAATGGGCACTCAGCATATCCTGAAATGAATGCCGTGCAAGACCCATGGAAGGAAGAAGAATTGTTTAAATTGGCTTCCTGGCAGGTACAATTTAGTTTCCCTTTGCTACTGTGCTGTAGCTGCGTAGCTAGGAATCTGACCATTTAACTTTGTTTACTGAAATCAGCGATCATCACTTTTTATCTTTTTCTTATTCCTAGAACATAGACACAGCAGACTTCTATGGACTTACGCCTTTAATGTTATCAGCACAAAGAGTGGTGGGGTAAGTGGGGAATAACTTTTAAAAGAATCTGTTGTCCACTCATTCCTGGGTGCAATGCTGAATCTTTTCTTCTGGTTCTGTCACTCTTGTTAGAGTGACAATTTTTTCTCTTCTACTTGTTGTAAAATACTACGTATCCAGGACATAGGAGATGATGAAGCAGCTAACTTGGTGTAGGAAAGAAAGACCCACCCCCCAAAAGAGATATCTTAAAATAGTTCAGGTTTGCAGCTGGACCAAGTGATGCATCATTGTGCTTTCCTAGAAATGAAGGTGAAATGAAGGATGAGTTCTTTTTTCTAAGCTTGGGTCTGTTGCTGGTGAGCTTGTTGAGAGACGAAACATCTGTATCTGCTGTTCCTTTACAGCAGATGCTAGCAGTGTTTTTTGTTAATAAGGTGTTCCAAAGTTTCCAATGCAGATTATGTTCTGTTTGTTAACTCTAGACCAGAACCCACAAGATTTCTATTAAAGTTTAACCCCTCCCTCAATGCTGTGGACAACGTTCAGAAGAACACTGCGCTGCACTGGGCAGTAACATCAGGAAACGTTAGTGCAGTGGAGCTACTGCTAGAAGCTGGTGCTAACATGGACATAAAAAATGTCAAGGTACAATTTCTTTCATTATTTCTGTTTTTTCCATCTGTGTAGGATTAATGGGTAAAATGAATGTGAAGAAATACCTGAATCCCCTCCCCTCTGAATGTCCTTTGAAATGGATGGGGGGAATAAGGCAAGAGTTCTTATTCTTTCCAAAAAGAATTGAGCACTTTTCTTGTGGTGTGTCGCAAAGTAAGAATGTAGAGATGATTTGAAATGTTAGTTTAGTGGACACCTAATCACTGTGAACAAATGTATTGTATCCTTCACAGATTCTCTTTTTTTTGTTTGTTTTGTTTGCTTTGAGTCAGCTGTTCTCTACAGCATGGCCACTATTACTAGCCTTCAGCCAAGTTTTTCAAAACTAATGCTGCTTTGTGTCTGGTGAGCCTCATAAAGTCTTGAAAAAGCATGGCATCCTGAAAAGATCAGTGTCTGTCAGTGCCTGTTTGTACACTCAGAAGTGCATGTCATGTGAAAGTCCTGATATTTGTAAAATCTGGTAGGAAGAACTATAAATGTTGAAACTATTGATTCCCATAGAGATGCTTGTGTAGTGTAGTAATTCTGGTTTGTATACTGAGCTGCTCAGCTTTTCCATCTGCTAGTTGTTTTTTGGTTTTTTTTTAATATATGACTCTTAGAATGTTACTGTTTGGTTCTAAAATGTCAACATAAACAAGAAAGTTTCCCTTTCAGTAAGGGATCATATTCAGTAAGCTTGTCATGTTCTAAAAGACTGTTCAGTATTTCAGGTTAGGAGACACAGTTCAGCAAGTGATTCATGTGGATGCAGTCTGATTGCAAATATCAGTCTTTAGAACTACAGAACACCAGATGAAGCATGTTAAAACTCTGGGTTTACTTTACCTTTGCCTTAAAGAAAAATGGTGGGTTTGGGGAAGAAGCCATTAAGTTCTTGTTTTAGTTCAGTTCATTTCTTGTTTCTGTTACAAAGGAAGACATTAATGTGTTAAGTGCATAACCAAATAAAGTTTGTTGTTGAAGGGAGAGACAGCGCTTGACCTTGCAATTCAAACTCAGAATCGCTCCATGATTTATATGTTAATTGAGGAAGGAAGAATGAGAAGCAGAAGAAATAACAGGTTACTGAGAGCGTTGGAGAAATACGAGGTAATATCACTAATGGACAGAAAGCTTCAGCATCCCGTGTTCAGAATAATATGTAACTTAACTCCATTCTGACAACAGGATCTTCTAAGGCTTCCAACACTGGACACTCAAAAATGAAATTTTTAGAAGCACCTTCCGGTTCTTTGGGTGTTTGTTCCCCACCCCCCTCTCCCCTCGTTGTTTTCCCTCCCTCCTTATGCACAGTGTTTTGATGCGTCGCTTTGTTACCTATCTTGAGTCTCTCAGCATTCATTATTATATTATGTGAATATTTTTGAAGTAAATCCTGCTTGAATATTTTGTCATATTTTAACAATGATCATTTTAACAGCTGTTCCTGCTGCTGGCATCTTGCTTGACTGTGATGTGGGCCATAGGATACGTAATGAACTTAAGTTCTGATTCTTGGCTTTTGAAAGGATGTCTGCTTTTCCTTCTGCTGGTTGGGATGGCTCTGTTCGTGAGGTTTGTGGATTCCTCTCTTTCTGTGTATGTATTTCTAGTAGATGCAGTACGTGGTAGTGATGCAGTGTTCTTTTCAGAGTCTACAGTTTCACTTAGAAGTTTGGTTGTTTGGGTTTTTTTGCTGTACTATAGAAAGGATTGTGTGAAGGATTTAAATATATGTACTTTTCACAATGATTTTGAAATGTAGTGTCCTTAGATGTTCAAAATTGTAGTTTCTGATCCTTGAGATCTGAGGAAAAAACAAGTGTTTAGGTGGCATGTTAGCTGGATTTAATGATAAAGAGGGTGTGACTGAATGCCTGCACCTGACAGAAGCTGAGATACCCATTTATGAAGTTTAGAAATGCGTTTTTTTTAACTTTTCCCTCTGTATTTGCAACGTAGCATGAGTTTCAATGTACCGTTCCCACCCTCTCTGTTCCCCAGACCTCCTAGTGATATTCTAAGCTGTTTTGCACATTTCCCATTTCTTACAGCAGTTACTAAACTGTATTCCTTGAAATGGCAATACTATGGTTGAGTCAATAAATAGAGTTTGTACTTTTCACCTAGAGTGCAGCTGCTCTGACATATAAAATCAGCTGGAACAGAACACTCCTCAGTAGATGTTTTTTCTGTATCGTGAATTCCTCTATGCATCTGGCTAAAGCGTGCTTCCGAGTGGCAATTTTGGTTTGCTTTAACAGAGTCTTAAAGTGAAGTTTTAAAAATAAATTAAAAAAAAAAAAATAACCGTGATAAGTCTGTACTCCACGAAGTTGAGTTTTGGATGCGAGAAAAATGTTCTTTTATTTTCATCTTCTTTCAGGCAGTTTGTGGGACTCAAGAATCTGAGATATCTTCCCACAGCACTGATGCTAAGTTCCGTCTTTTGGATGTCTGTGACGTGGTTTTTCTGGTTCATGCCTGATATCCTTTGTAATGCAGTAGAACTTTCACTTTCTAGTAAATGTAAGCACAGTTGTGCAAGGAGTGATGAACAGTCCCAGCTAATTCCATTTGACTGTGAATGTCTGTTAAGATTACTTTATCTACATTGGACCAGGGTTAAATAGCTTTGTGTTTAAATGGAAGTTACAACAGACTAAAGATATGTAGTTTCTTTTCTCTTTGACAGGTATTTGTGTGTAGTTCTGATGTTTCTGTTTTGTTTTTTTAATTTTACTGGGATATCAAAATGCCTTTGTTATATGCACAGTTGTAGAGTCACCTGGAGATGCTAATATAGACAGTGTTCCCTCTTTGGGACCATCCAGTAATGTATTTTGGTATGCAGTAAAGCTAGATAACATACTGCATCACACATTGCAGTTTTAAAAGCATCTCTCATTTCTAAATGAGAAGGATTTGGCAGTTGGTGGTATTCATGTTTCTGCTTTAAAAATAAATGAATAAAAACACCGGGCTAACAAATTTAGTTGTATCCCTTGGAAGCAGACCTTCCATTTTCCAGTCTGCATTTGTTCAGAGGTTATGCAGCATCCTCAGTGCACAGTGCATTCATTTTTACCTTTCTTTGAATAGGCCTTGGACTGATGAGTACCTCTATTTAATTGTTTACACTCACTTTTCAGTACTGTGCTCTTACACAGAAGGCACCTACTTATTTATTAATTAAGTTCTGTGAAAGGGAAGGCCATTAGGGAGATACTCAAAATTTAAATAATTTAGTACTAAATCAGCTATACTGCGTTGCTACCCAATTTTAATTCATTTTTAATTACTTCGTCCTTTAAGAGGCATTTCTTTTGGTACTGTTTGCAATTATGATCTTAATAGGATGATCACCATTCATTTTGATGAACTGATCACATATATTCCTGTGAGGGATACACGCGTATGCTTGTTGCAATGAAAATCCTGTCATTAACTGTTGCTTTTTGAAGTTCTGTTCTAAGGTTTTCTTGGCGTCATCTAAATTAAAAGAAAGCAAGAATTCTAACTGTAAGGGTTAAAGGTAGACGTTCTGTAGAAGATGATGAACACAGCAGTATTCCTAAAGGTCGTGGCTTAGTGAGGTAACTTTTTGCTATTTCTATCAAACACTTGCTCTGTAAAAGTCAAAGCCATTCTTTTCCTTTTTGTGTATTGCTTGTAAAATACCACAATCTCATTGTAGAATATTTTAATTGGCAACAGTGGTAGTACATAGTGAGAGAATATATTCCTTAATCTAAATGTTACATGTGACCAATACCATTTTTGAGATCCCTGTCATGTTCAGCGTAGTGGGTCTTTTTTATTTTTTCTATAAAGCCTGGAGGACTGATCCTGGATATATTAAGTCTTCCGAAAAAGACAAAAAAGAGGTAAGTTGACATGCTGCACCGTGATTGTGCTTCTGATTGATTCATTTATCATCAAATGTATCTTTGAGATTTTAGTTGTATCATCGAGCAACGTAGGTTGTTAGATGATAAACCCAACCTACTGTCAGTTTATCTTCAGCACCTTGCTGTTATTTCCTTGCCTCGGTCTTCTCATTGGAATATGAGCTTCAGCGAAGCATGGTATGGACTTGTGCCTTTGCTATAATCTATGGCATAAATTCACAGATACTTCACTTAATAAATAACACTCTTGTTCTAGATGTCTCTGGTTAGAAAGAGTTACAGTGCTTTCCTAAGCTCTCGATGCTCATAAGACGTACTAAAAGCTAGCAATGATTTAAATCATCAGATGCTCTGAAGATGGGTATTTTATAGCTGTATTTTACAATGACAAAAAAAGGAAATGGACAACCAGTCAGTAGGACATTACCTGTTTGGTCCCTTACGTTATTGATTGTGACTCTGCGTGGTTTACGATCTCCTTTGTTCTCCATGTGGTTACCTTTCTCCAGATTGCCAGGGAGATTAAACTGCAATTTTAATTTTTTTGAAATTGTTGCCACGGAACTAATAAGTATTGGCTATCTCGTGCCCATAAAAAAGCACTGAGTGCTTATCAGGGCATGATAGCCAATATTTACCAGTCTTTTTGCAACGGTGTTGAAAAAGTTTCAGTCATCATCACTTTTGAAGTCTGGCTGACTGTATGGGGGAGAGCTACTTTTCTATATAATTCAGTGTGAGTGACTTTGCATGAGTCTTTGCCGTTTTGTTTCTTGTGGACCTTTTCTCTACCCAGGGCTGCAGGTATTTACACCTGTTGATGCTGAGCACTCCAAGTGCTTAGTGTCTGCAAAAGGCCTCATATACAAATCTTTGTAGGTCCCCGTAAAATGTGATCCAAATGCATGCAGAAACTGTTCTATCTTTCAGAACATTGTAGCTCTTGCAGAAGCAGGATGCTTGGATTTCAGAACATTCTGCACGTCATGTCTTGTAAGTAAGGATTTGATATTCCTTTGCTTTTTTGAAACCTGTTTCTTAGTTCAGTATAATACCTGTTTTTCTCCTTGTCATGTGAGTGCTACATATGCTGCTTGTTCTATGCTAGATTTCATTTTCTCACTTATGGTGACAAAGAAGCTTTAAGATCATTGGGTTACATTCTTAATTAAAAAAAAAAAATCCATCTCTTTTTTTTTTTTTTTTTTTTTGGTAAGATTTAGAAAACTCTCATCTGTGTTCTGTATTTGAGGCCCACTGTATAGAAGTAGTTATAAAATATTGTAATGCCCATCAGATGATGCTCTGAGCTTTGATCAAAGCAGATGTTTTTACTCTGACTATATTCCTTTCCTCTGTGCTCAAACAGGTAAGGAAGCCTTTGAGATCTGTGCATTGCCTTCTTTGTGATTCATGTGTAGCCAGATATGATCAGCATTCTCTGTGGATTGCGCAGTGCATAGGTAAGAGTCTGTGCTTTATCAAAATTGAAAATTTCTTGCCTTAAAAGATGTTGCAGAAATAACATTTATCTACTTAAAGAGCAAACCTGATGTAAGAACACACTGTAGAGACTGAAGAGGTTACTGAGAGCTGCCAGAGAGTCTTATCTGATATTTTTTTAAGAGTTAGCAATTTTAAGACACATCAAGGTGAAGCAATTAAATTGAATAGTATAGATTTTTCAGTCTTCTAAGACAACTGTGCAGTGCGTGGGCAGAGCTGTGCTAGCATAACGAGTCCCCATCCAGATAATAGCTGATGTGCTATGAAGAATATACAAATGCTGGCTGACTTTACCAGAACTAATTCTATTATATAAACTGAAATAGCTTACAGGAGAAAGTTGGAAGAGATCAGCCTTGTCAAACTCTCTTGAGGACAGCAGAGGTAATAGTAAGAAGTGCTTTAGATTCTTTTTTTCTTGTTAAGCAAAGGAGAAATACAAGTACTATAAAATTCTTAAAAGGTCATGCTGGTTTTTTTTCCTTCCTTGACTCAAATGTAGGTGTTGGGAACCATCGTTACTACCTACTGTTCCTGTCTTTCTTAACTGTGACCAGTGTCTGGCTGCTTTATCGAAGTCTTCTGTGTATGTATCAGTGAACTTATTTTAATTTAGCTGTCAGGGATCTGTGTATGGCTTTTTTATTATGGCATAATTAATTATAACTGCACAAAATGGCCAACTCAGTCTAGTTCCATCCCCATTGCAGGGGTTGGAACTGGGTAATCTTTAAGGTCACTTCCAGCCTAAGCCGTTCTGTGGTTCTGTATTGTAGAAATGAGTCAGTGTTCTACTTAGAGTAAAATGAACCAGGTATGGCAGTGGTGAGCACAGAGTGTGAATGCGAGTTGCTTTCCTGTGTTTCAGTGTGGTCTTAAGTGTGCAAAAAGTACGGTGTTTTCTATGTTTTCTGTGTTTATGTGAACATGAGAGGAAAACCACTTGATTGCTGTACTGACATAACAGCAAAACCTGTACTTGTTTGGTTTTTATTTTTTAATAGGTCTAAGACATGTCATAGGCTTTAAGCGTCTCTTAGAAGTCTACAGAAGCTGAATATTCCAGTTTGTTTATTTAATAGTGTGAAAAGTATTGTTTTCTTGTCATTGTTACAATCTGTCTTATTTTGTTGGTGGTGGAGTTTAAGATAAACGATAAATTCTTGTCCTGAAACTAACAATTAGTGTGCAGCAAAATTTCAGAAGGCTCGACAATGAGAGGCAATTACTTATTTCAATATCACTAGTTAACTTTAATGTAAAAACAAAATGAAGTGTCTTGTAATATAAAAGCAAAGCATCTAGCCAGTTGTTCGAATGTTCCTTCTGTGGATTATGCACACACAAAGTAAGGATCATGCAACAAGAGAAGCAAACAGTCACATATCCATGTGAGTGTTTTTAAGTGGGAAGTGGTATTTTGAGAGCACACTGCTATACAATACTTTGTGCAAATATTCTTCACTTAGTATATGAGTAGTCTATTTTAAAAAGGTAACGAAATGATTGTGAATCTTGTCAGATTGGTCAAACCACTGCATAACAAGTTACCATGCAGATGGAGCATGGACGTACTTCACACAGATAACTACTTGTTCTCCATGGCTGTCCTACATCTTCATGCTAGCCTGCTTCCATACTGTATGGTCTTCATTGTGGCTAACTATTCAGCTTTACCAGGTATTATTTTGCTTCAGTTCACATTCTTCTCATAATGAGCTACCACATGAACATGTTTCCCTACGTGATTTGTTGCCTTAAAGGCATTGCACCTGCTTTCCTATTCTGATGTCATATCTGGGTGCTCACCTTAAACCTCAGAGCAGTCCTTTTAAGTTTCGTGGCTACGTTTACACTTGTTATTCTGATGCTAAAAGTTAGATCACATTCTGCAAATCATTCCTGTATCTGAATTCTAATTTCACCATTGTCAAAAATTCTAGCCTGTTGTATGGGAACTGCTGAGTTATGGCCTGAGCCACTGATTGAGCACCTGGAGAAAGGACTTGGTCAGCCCTGGGAGCACAGGTGAAGGCAATTCAGCTGTGTGACTGGATGGGGTGGAGCCTGGCTGCACCTCTCTTAGACCCCAGTTAAGGGTTGACCCCCACTGGGGAAGGATCTCTTTCTGGACATCCCTCCCTTGTGGTGTTTTCCTCTGTGAGCCTAGATCTTTGGAGATGAGGGAGGTGTTATAAGGGACGGGGAAAAGATGGTTTTCTGTTGCACTGGTCCCTCTGCCATTACACTTCTTGTATCACCTTTCCATTGTGTTGATCTTTCTGATTGAAAGTGAAACATATTTAAGTAACAAAGCAGTTGTTTCTGTCCCAAAATGGCATGTGAACTCAATAGTACAGTTACTTCCAAGTTGAAAATTCCGTGGCAGAGTTCAGCAGTATGTTATTAGATTGCTGCAATGAAAATGTGACCTGAATTTCATCCTAATAAGGGCTGTCAAATTTCTTTAAGTTTGCTGTACTCCAGGAGATGTTGGCTGTGCAAGTGAGGTTAAGAGCTTTCTGAACCATCTAAGAAACAGCTTTTTAAGATGGCTTAGGATTCTCTTTCAGCTTAAGTGAAATTTAAGATCAACTTTTAAGTCCTTAAGTATAGCAGGAGTTACTTAGTGGTTAGATATGGCCAACTTCTTCCCAGTCCCTCCCCATTAAAAATTATCTTTTGGTATTGCCAGTATTTAAATTTGTGATGTTCATATTTCAGACGTTACTTGTGTTTTTCTTTCTCTAAGATTGCATTCTTGGGACTGACCTCACATGAGAGAACGAACCTCCTGATAGAGAGCAAATCGTCTAAGCATCCTGTTTCACTCAGGAGAAATCCATACAAGTAAGTGCTGTAGTGTACAGTGTTTTAACTGTGTTTCCCTTCAGTACTGGCCTACTTCACTGCTGCATGAATGCCAAACCTGAGCAATCTGTGGGCACGCTGATCATGCCTGTTCTGAGTTACGCTAAGAGGAAGAGCTGGACCTCATTTTCCTGGCAGAGAACTTCCTTGATGCTATAGAATAAACTGCCATCCTAAGAGCTACTGTGGTTCTTTCTTCATGGCTGCGTATATACCCCAGAATAAGTCTTTTTCTCTAATTAGCAGAAACAACTTGGGAGGTAGGGAGGACAATGGCCTTGAGTGTATTCATCATTCTCTGTCTGCTCTTTAGATCCAGAGAGAGAACTTTGTTATGAACCAGCCCTTTCTGAATTATTTTAGCTTCATAAAGAAATTACTACCAAAGTTTCCTTATAATACTAAAAATCTTTATTCCCTCATGTGCTAGCAGGTGAAATCTTTCTTAGTATTAATTTCAAATATTTGAGTTGAACTTAATCTTCTATCCCTATTAAATGTAATGCAGGTTAAAAAAATGTCAACAAAGGAATAATGCTGAATAGAACATTGCTGTGTTTCTTCTCTTAGAGCTATCTTTGCCGACAGCTTTATCCCTTAACTACTGCTTCCCTAGGGATCACGTATTTTTAATGCCTGCAGTTATCTTTTGTTAAGTTTATTAATGAGTATTTCTCTGTTTTTTAGTCTTGGATGCTTCCAGAATCTTGCAGACTTCTTTCAGTGCAGATGTTTTGGTATGGTCAAACCCAATGGAGTTGACTGGACCAAGCAATACAACATTCATGTGATAAAGAAGAAAAACGTTCATTGTGTATGAATTCTTACTTGATTTTTAAAGCTGCTGAGCTGAGTGAGAAATAAAACTGGATGTTTTGTTAATTTTTATATTCTTCCAAAATCTTCTTGCTTTTATTTTTTTATTGTTCTGAATATTAAACCTCTCTTCTGTAAGGGACAGAAGATGTGGATATGAAACAATTACTGTGTCTCTTTATATATAGCATGAGCTGACACACTTTGAAATTTTATTTGAAAAGATGACACTAAATATACTTTCTAAAAGGGTAGTTTTTAGGGCAGAATTTGAAAACTTTGTTCGTACCTTTTGTATTATTTTGCAAATAATAAAACTGCATTTGAAAAATGAAGGGGGAAGTTCACACTTCAAATTCAATATAAAAATTGGCCTGTAACTGGTTATCTTAGATTGTGAACACAATCTAATGACACTCTGTATTTGGGTGTTTTACATGTGACAAAACAGAATTTTTATGCTTCTAAGAATATTTTACAGGTTGAAACAGATTCATGAGATATATGACCAGGGAAGTATTTAAGAACAGGTAAGCACAGAACCATAAGAAAAAGCCTTCTTGCCTTACGTTTTGCTTGTCTGTATGCCCTGTTAGCTTATGAAAATTGATAAGGAGATGATAGAAAGTATTAGCATATATGGAAAAGACAACTATTCTCACCTGCATGCATAGATCTATAATAGCTACCATATCAGTCACGTTCACAAGATGCGAAGGCTACAGCATGATTCCAGCGTGGCAGGCTGGGCAGTGTGTAGGAAGTCAAAATACTTCATAATAAAAACTGGCAGGGAAGCAGATCGAGATCAAAAAATTGAAGTTAAATGCTGTCTAGAACTGACAATGCAGAATAAAGCAGTGTAATGAGACAGAGTTCTTGCAGTTAGGGAATGGGAGATGTAATCTTCTCCCTGAAATGCAGTAGTCTGTGGCACCGTGGGACATAAAGCACAATTAAATTGAAGTGAACAAAAATGTGAAGCAATACGAGTGCTTTATTGTAGCTTGAAAAACGTACAATAACAAAACTGAAACACTATATTCTAAGAAAACTTGCTTTTTCTTCGGAAGGCTCTCCCTTTTAGAGAGAGAATTTCAAATTCTTCTAAACTATGTGTCCAAGTGAATGATACCTACTCTGCCCTGGTAGAAATAATGTCAAAATCTTCAAAACGCTATGAGGAAACTGGCCTAGATCAGAAGACTCTGACCCTTGTGATTCATAGGCTATCTCTGTCTGAATGGGACAGTGTGCTGACTCTTTAAATTTTGAGTCTGAACAGTGGTAAATACTAGTGTAAAAAGTAGCAGTGTTCCATGAACAGAAGTTCTTGTCTCTATTCACTTGTATGGTAAACATGAATCTGCCTTGATCAGTGTACCTTTTTTAAGCTGTTCTAAGAATTTCTTAAGGTACAAGCTTGCGAGTTTTTCCTGCAAGATGGAAATATTTAACGAATGCCCTAGGTTATAAGCAGTAGGTGATGATTTTGTTTTACTTGACAACTGTTTTCTGCTGACACTCTGCATCCACTCCTTTTCACTCACATTCTTTCTTTTCCACTTGAGTGAGGCCACCAAAACCAATTCCTTTGGGACCAAAATTCTTTGCGTAGCAAACTGCAAAAGAAAGAAAAGGGTAAAGAGTATTCTGAACGTTTGCCTAAGTTGCTTTTGGATTTGGTACTCATTCCAAAGGTAAGTTAATACAAAGAAGGAAATCTGAGACGGTCTTTCTCAGAAGTGTCAAAAGATTCTAGTAATGAAAAATATTTGAATTAAACATGTGTTGCATTTGAGTTTCTCAAAAAGAAATTGGAAAAGTATGTATTTAAAATTTTAATAACAATTTATTTAAATAAAGTTTTCTGTCCATGCAGACTGAATATCAGAGTTTCTCAAAGGAGGCTAGAACAAGAGTATAGTCCAGCCAGCTTTGGATGATTGCTTGGGCAATCCAGTGTGACTCTTTATTGCCAAGTATGTTCATACTTATTCATCACAACTTCTCTGTCTTAGCAGCGGTCAGCATTTTTCTCCAAATATTATCTACTGATCTTTTTTTTTTTCTTTTTTTTTTTTTTACTGCTAAAAGTTCAGATTCAATGACAGATCACTCACAAAAGAAATGTGCTATGACTACACTCCTTCCCATTTGTTTTGTGGCATTTCATTTCTCTGTCATGACTCCCTTAGAGTTTATACTGCTGATGTTTCAACAAATTCCTTTTCATGAAAAGTTTTTCTCAATTTCAAATTTTAAATAGTTGAAATTGCTAAGAGTTTTACGAAACAGTGAAAATTGTATTTTAATCAAGCACATAATCTTCATAAGGGTTTTACTTTTTGAAAAAAGCATAATATCAGGGACATAAGTGGTTGAGTTGAGAATCATTTTGTCCAAACTATTTTATCCTGAACTGTCAGAGTCACAGCAGTGAATAAGGGACTTTGAATTTAGACTAAAGTATTGGAGTTTAACTACTTACTGATATACAGCTGTTTTAAAAAGTGGATAAAAAAATGTCAGATATAGAATCCACTTTCTACGGTGAGATATATTGACTCGTCAACAGTACTATTTTTTTCCAAAAAAAGGAGCAAAATGAGAGCAAACATAGCTCAGGCTTTCCTGCTGAAGCATGCTTCTGAGATGAAATAGAAAATGAAACTTCTTGAACTTACAAACTTGAAATGGTTTGTATTTGCTCTGCATGCAAATATGTTTATTTATTTCAGTCTGTGGAATCAAGCACAGCCATCATATTTCCGTTTTAGCTTTTCTTACTTGAGATTTTAAAGTGAGAGAAAGTTAAATTTCGATGACATTTTGATGAAATGTAATGCTAGTTTAGTCAGCTGATCTCTTGTTGTTTGATGTCAGTTGATCTCTAGTTTGCTTGATCTCTCGCTGCTGTCAAACTGTGCCCAATTTCAGTATTCTTTAGTATTCTCAATAGTTTAGCCTAGGATATAAAAACTTGGCATATTTTTTCTACTGGAGCTCTTTCCAAGAAATCTGCAAGATCTGAGAAGAATATCTGGGTGTGTAATTCAGCATGAATGCATCATCTTCTGTATTATTAAAGTATAGGGGAAACATCACTTTTGAAATCTTACTGGCAGGACAACCAGTTAGGACCATGATCTGTCTGTATCTTTGTGGTTTGTTATTAAGCATTCAGCAAGGCAAATCACGATGGTAATATTGGGTCTACAAGAAATAATTCTTACCTTTACAGTAGAGCTCTCCGTCTTTGTCTGTAACATTTGTAGACTCTAAACTCTTTCCACAAATAGCACAGCGGAAGCATGTTTTATGCCAAGGCTGAGGGAATGAAGACAATTTGTTTTTATGTTACAGAAGATGCACAGCTAGCAAATGCAAGAAACAGCTGTTCCTTTTTGTTGCGTGAAGAGGTTAAAATTGCCTTCTTGGGCTTATGACTTACAATTTTAGTCCTTTTAGATTAGTTTTTCAAATTATTATCCCATTTTAATATCTTACCTAGTGAGCCTCTTGTTGATGGAGGTCTGGTAAAAAGCAGAGAGCTATAGATAGTGCTCTCATTGGCCACATCCTTCATGCGTAGAGATAATGAATTAGAGTTCCTAGAGCAGAGGGCCAGCATATCGTACAGTGCTGTTTTTTTCTAGTCACGGAATCTCTTTAATTTGTTTGTAGTGGCAAATGCAGATATATGTTTGAATTGTAACTATCCCAAGAGATGTTAGTAGGATGACAGTGGAAGTCAAAAGGGAAGGGTTGTCCCTCAGACCTTGACAAGATGCAAAATGTTGAAGAAGGTTTATGACAAAACATAACTTCAACTTGACTTGAAATCTGACGGTCAGTACGTTTTGCTTATTCAACCTTGTATTTTCTTCATCAACACCGGGTAAAATCTTCAAGCATTGATTGACCATGAAAAAAGTTTGGTTGCTTTTTTTCCTAGTGCTTTAGTAACTACTTACTTTTCCTCCTCCCATTATCTTCTCTGCAGCATACACCGATTTGCCACACCTGGGACATTTATCCACATCAACGATCTTTTTGGCAAATTTTGAAGGATTAGTTGGTGTAGAAGGGCGAGCAGACTTTGGTGATCCTCTGAAACAGAAGTTTTCAATGTTTTAAAACATTGCTCAAAATGTTATCTTCACTCTAGAAATTTGATTCTTGTGGTGGTTGTTGTGTTTGTTTTGTAAGGGGTCAAAACATTCTTACTGGTCTAGGAGGTAGAATCATTAAGGTTGGAAAAGACCATTAAGATCATCAAGTCCAGCGTGGAGAGGACAGTGTAACAGAATCAGAAAATCATGTTGATTCAAAAAGATCTTCTGTTATATTGCATTTTGTGTTACATAGTTGAAAAATGAATGCTGTACCCACTGTAATTGCCCATTTTTGACTCAGCACATGAAGCTGACAACCACATACCATGAAAAGTGAAAGTGAATTTTGTTTTATTGAGAGGCCAGTGAGGAAAAACAAGCAAAGGACCTCCACTCTTTGCTGCTAGTATTCAGTATAGAGCAGATCTTGAAAGAAGGGAGGGGAAAAACCTATAGATTTTGCATGTGTTGGTTTTGTTTTGTTTTTTTTTTTTCCTATTGCTGCAAGATTTCAACAGGGTTCCTAGCTGGCCTGGAGTCAAAAGCATGAGACAAGTAGTTCTGAACTTTGTGGCTTACGTCTTTGTGCTGGCTTAGTCATTCACAGAACTACTTTAGAATTACCAGACTTGTGGACTGCAACAGGTCATTAAGTCACCAGGACGTGGCAGCTCTTGATACAGAACTCTGCCCACAGTGGGTGTGTATTTTACAGGGGACACAATTCGATACAGCAGTTAAGCTTTTATTTCCTGCACAGCACATTTGTTAATTGGTTTCTTTACAGTGATACCAGAAGAAAATGTTGGCTTTGAAATGTACAGATTTGAGTATAATAGAAAAATACTACCAAAATGTACTGTCAGATGTAATTACATGCAGCTGAAGCTGTTTGAAGATAGTATCCCAAGGGAATGCCTTTGTTCAGTTATGTCCTCGATGTGCTTGTAAGTGTTGTACAAGCCACAGGGAGGGTTTAGGAACATTATTTCTCTGTTGAGAGGAGGGTTAACAGTGTGTGGTGTTGTGCTTCTTTCTCTAATGGTAAAACCTAGCTGTATCTTAATTCTGATAGAGTGAAGAACATCCTTGTGTTCTGTGGTGAATGTGGTTCTACCACTGTGTACCAGCACAGTGGCAGATCACAACTGAAAACTGGTAAATTACCATGTCCACCAAGGAAAGGTTGTGGGAGATTCTGCTCTGCTACTTGTGCTACATGTTGCTATGAGAACAGAGCAGAATACCTGAAATAGCCCTGAGTGACAGGTAGCATCAGACAGCCACATGGTGCTGCTGGTAGGGTTGGACTCACTGTTGAAGATTTAGGCCCAGATGGTCCCCGGTGTCAGTGCTGAGACATCCGGCCCCTTGTCCAAAGCCAACGCCTTTGGGGCCGTATTTTCTCCCGTAGCAAGTTTTGCAGTAGATTTCAGATTCGTGAGCTGCCACTGTGGTGCTGTCCAGAGCCTTCCTGCAAGCCACTACGGAAAGGAAGAGAGGCGTGTGATAACATCTGTGTATTCCAATATGAATTAATGTAGGTCAGAATAATTACAGTTGTTGCTTGTTTTTGTTTATCTTCAAAATTGTAGGAGAATAAGAATGTTAGTGCACTGTCTGCAGCAACCCAATGAAGTTTTATGTGAAGATCAGTCAGAATCAAGCAGGGCACTTTTTATTTATGTAGTTGCATTTCTTTGGGTTGTAGTGCCATGGGGAGCAGTGACCCTGAACAGCTGATGGTCTCAGCTCCATTAGATGTCCAGAATGACAAGATTATGGTGTTGGAAATTCTGAGACCACAAGGAATCTACTCTTCGTTGTTTTTGTTGTGGAGAAGTGCTTCATGGCTTACCTCACCAGAAAAGGTCCAGGGGACCTGGGGACAGAACGTGCCATGGCAATGCCATGCACTTAGTGGAGTACAAGTTGTACCCTCTGTGTCACTGCTTTAAATCTAGCCTCTGTTTGAATGGAAAGTCCTGGAATGCTAGCAGCTGCTTGTCTGGGGTCTTGGTAGGCATGTGTCCCTTATCTGAGAGGCACAGATGGCACTTGGAGCCAACAGACATTGCTAAAGCTACTCTCGTGTCCGCTGATTCTCCTCAGATGGGCATGGAAGGCAGATTAGTCTCTTCCATGTTCTCTCAGTGCAGGATCTGAAACCTGATCAGTCTTCAGTGAGTGGAATTCCCTTACCAGCAAGTGCATCTCCTTGCTGCTTAGCCTGAAACTGAGATGATAACAAATGGGAAAAAATAATAGTGACACTCTTTATGTGTTTGGTGGCTGCATATACTGTGCTGTTTTGGGAGCTCAGTGTGTGGCAGCCCCCACCCCATCAAGAGAGATGAGGCTTTCAGTGACCAGTGCCTACAGAAAATCAGGGTTCTGTAGCATGCTCCAAAAAAGTAGCACTGTTTACAAATCAGTCACTGGATCAACAGTGATCAATAGGGATGAGGGGGGATGATAAAAGGGAAAGTGTTCTCCTAATGTCTTTTGAATAAGTGCATGTGCCACTGAGGGGTGCTGATAGCTTGGGAAATAAATTGCTAAAGTGATGTAAGTAACACCAACCTGTGAAATGCACAAGTATGGAAAACAGTTGGAAGTTCATTCAAGTCAGAACTTAAGCATTTAAGGCAATATTGGAACCAGTACAGCTTTACTTCTGTCACTGTACTGTGTTGAGGGGAATACAATTTGCATGGAGCTCTTTAATTAAAAGGAATAAAATGAGGGGCTTCTGTAAATGTGCAAACTTTGTGATCCTATCTCTTCAGCTTTGAGATGATAATTATGTTTGCTGAGGGAGTTAGGGGATGATGGAAACTCTAGCAGTAGATAAAGTGTTTCTATTTCTGGCACTGTAGGGATAGAGTATCAATTCACCACAACAGATGGAGCAAAAGCCCTTGAAGTGCTATTGTTGAAATGGCTTTGGGACCTGTCACCTGCCAGCAGATAGCAGGCACTGAGGGGTCTCAGGTTTATGGCATGAGATCCTGCCAAATGTCCATCATGACTGTGCTGTAAGCAAAACCTGACAGGGAAACAAGGTAGGCAAACTGCAAGCTGTATGGGAACTAAGGTTGGCTGGAAAGAAGCTCTTTACACGTCTGTAAGGTAAAGCTAGGGACATGATTATATCATTCAGCTCATCAGTTTCTTACTGTGCCAACAGGTTGGCTTGAAAATGCTGTTTGTTTTAGTGGGTTAAATACAATAAAAGCTCAATTAAATGGATTTTGGTTTTGTACCTGAGATTGTATATAGAGGAAAGCCAATTAACATACCTGTTACCAGACGCGCTTTGCTGCATCCTTCATTTTTTGACCTTAGACTTCTGCTGGGAATACTTTTTTTTTTTTTTTTTTTTTTTTTTTTTTTTAAGTATCTGACTTTTTGATGAGTTAGTTCACACTCAGGGTCCAACAGGGAAAAAAATAAAAGCAGTAGACCTAATGAGTGTGTGGTATTTATCACAAGCCATTTAGAAAAGATCATTTATATTAAAAAAAAAAGAAGCTTAAACTTGTTCCAGAATTAGGTGTCTGAGAATTTATATGGGAGGGAAATATCATTAACTATGACCCAACAGGACAGCTCTTTATTTTTATTAGACAAGAGAGTCTACTCATTTTACTTTTCCTTTCATATACCTTTCTATCATGGAATAAAGCATGTGTCAATTCAAGCTTTTCTAATAATTAGTGTGTTTGCCTTCAGATGCAAAGCATTTAGCTATCTTTAGTTCTCAGCAAATTGTTTATTCTCTTCACTGAGGGTGAGTGGGGTTGTTTGAGATGGTGCCTTCTTGCTTATTTTTCTAGTGCAAGCTTATCCACAGAGAAAGATGCCTACCCAACATCAGAGGTGTGTGAGGAAGAGTAAGTGAAATGGGAATATTTGGAATGTGGGTTGAAGGAAACTGAGGTGCTCACAGGGTGGTGGTGGGAAATACTGTTAATAGGGATAACTTTTCTGTGTGAAATGATTTTTTTGGGGGGGATGATCCATAAAAGTAATGTCTCCTAATAAGGCTGACTTCTATCTCAAGAACGCTGGTTTAGTTCTTCAAGGCTTTTTTGGATTGAAACTTGTAACGTGGTACCTTGTGGGACAAAAGGTAGCACTCTGGTGTCCCTAACAAAAAACATCTAGTGTGTGCTTCACAAAGGAGAAGCCAAGATCCTGAGAGAGACGTGGCTCAGGGGGAAAGGGTTGTTGAGAACTGATGAGGAGTAGCAGACTGGCCTTTCAGAAAACTGGATAATGCTATCAAGAAGTTACAGTTGTTTTATGTCCTTCAGTTGCTAAAGGAATGTGACACAGGCTTTTTTCCTTAGTGTGTGTTGTCTCTGAGGTTCAACCAGTTATCCTTACAGATGAGGAGCCCTCAAAACTGACTTTCTAGAGTCAGTCTTAATTAAAACGCTGCTGCTGAACAAACTTAGTTAAGTCTTGGCTCCCTCCTTTTGTCCTCTCCCTTGTGTCAAAGGCAGTACCATAAACATGGCAGTGTATGGTAGGAGTATTTTCTTTGGCCAAATAGGATCCCTAAGGTTCCTAGAGTGTCAGTCTCACTGTGCTGTTCTCCAGGTAGAGTGGTTAGTGTGTGCCTGCTCTCTGCTTTGAGCTTTCTCAGTGGTAAGATTCATGAACCTTACAGATCTTCCCTCTCTGAAGTTTGCTCTGGTGCTGGTTATTTCTACCATCCTTTACACTGCTTGGGCTGTCTTAAGACCTGCTCTCAATGTCCCATGAGCAAACAGATTGAGTTAGGCCAAATGCGAGCATCTTCATTGTGCATCTCCTTGGATGCAAGGAGTACGAAAGGAAGTATACTAGCTGTAATGGAAATAGCTGAATTACATGGCTTTAACTTTGCACTTACTGCAGAGGAAGCACGTCTTGTGAAAACTCCTTCCATTGCACTGAATTTCCTCAGCATGGTACACTGTCTTTTCACAGGCACCGCATTTGGCTCCACCTCCCCAGTTTGGCATCTTGGTATGTGAAGGTTTATGGTACCTAGAAAATCGAACTCAGTGAATAAATCCAATAGAAAAAGTGATATTTATTTACTTATTTCCCTTGAACTGCTATTGCCAGGTAGCCCCTAGCTAGGATCTGCTCATGTGAGTTGTACCATCATGATACTTGCAGACAGTCATTGAGCTTTCTCAGTGATATGTATAATGGCAATTTTCTCTTTCAGTGTGACATCACACCATCTAGTTAGTATCTGAACCAATTCCACTGTGAAGCTGAACAAATACACAACATTATTACTGAGGACACTGTAATAGAACCAAGTTGGTTAGTGAGCTTCAAGACCTCTGCTGCATAGCTGTTATAAAGTAGTGACTGGTTCCTAAGGGGCTTTCATTTGTTAGAAATCTAAACATCTGAGAGACAGTTGAGCTTCCTATTCCAGTGGCTATGGAAGTGACTTGCCCAAGGTCATGTGAGGGAGCAGTGTTAGAGCCAGGAGCTGAGCATAGGTCACTGGACTGTGCTCGGTAAGTGCCCCTGATGATTGTGCTATCATGCAGCTGGAGCAGCCACAATCTACGGTTTGACCTTCTGTTTTCTTGTTTGAGTCATTGTTTCTGGAAAGTCTGGGACGTCATCTTGTCATCTGCACATCCTGTTATCAGGCTGTTCAAGCTCCTGGCTTGGGCCACCTCTGTCCTTCTTGGAAAACCAGTCACTTTCTTATTATAGGTTTTTCAAAGTCTGCTGGTCCCATTTGGATTTGATTAGACCCACCACTGGATGTTCTTAGTTAAGAAAAGGATTTTGAATACTGAATCAAACCTTCCACCTGACAATTTTCTTCTGATGCCATGTAAAAGAGTGGAGTTTGTCATGGTAGTAATGTAACAGAGCAGTTATTGAAAACAGCCTGAGTTTTACCCCAGTGTCTTACTGTGTACACAGAACACTGATGTCCTGTCTGTCATGATCTCAGTGACTTCTGTGCTGCATCTGCTGGTTTTCAGAAAGAAATGTTTTCTGTCTGCCAGCTCCACAAGCTTAACCTCAAGCTAGTTCTGGCTACTAACCCAAACGATTGTGCAATTGCAGCAAAAGGTATCACTATCCAACAGAAGGAAGGCAGGACTATAGCACAGTAGGGTGGGCACATCTGCACTGTTGTCAAACACTGATGGTCAAGACATGAGCATCTCCAAACATATCCTCCTTGGCATTCTGGTTGTTAGTACACCCTGTTACTTGCAGTAGACAGCACAATGTCATTGTGCCGCAAGGTGCAGCCTCTCATTTTTGTGATGGAACCGTCTCCTCAGCTCAATCTGTCCTTAGCTGCCATAAAGCAGCCATGCCGTTAAGCTGTTTCAGCCCTTGCTGCTCTGACAGCTATGAAGCACTAGTGATGCACGGGAGAGAAAACCCCCAGCTTGCCTTGAGCTGTGCTTATCTGCAGTGTAACAAGTCAGAAGCAGAAATGTGATGTAGCTGAGGTAATCATATGGAAGGAATGGATTACAAATTTCTTTCCTTCTTCTTCAGGAATTTTTTCTGTGAAATAGCACTGTTGAGGTCTTTTTCCCATTTATTTTAATTAGGGGCAAAGGAACAGGGATAAATATTTCACTAGGGTCAAATCTTGTCTCATTCTGCCATTTTGTATCCTTTTTTTTTTTTTTTAAGTATGTTTCTATCAGTGGTATTTTTTTTCCTTTAAAACAATCAAAATAATGCTTCAACCGTTTTAAAATGAGAGGGGAAGATTGATTTTATGATTGAAAAGTCAAAGGTTTTTCCATTTGCAGTGTTTTCTTTGAAATTGGGCTGCTTGGGTGGGTCCTGCACTGCTGGAGCAGCACCGAGATCTGCCCTGGAGGAGAGTGGTTTTCATCTCTGGTCACTGGCTATACCCTTCAGAGGTGCAGTAAGTCTCAACCTGTGACAAAAGAATCCTTGTTGGAAACTAATTCCCATTACATCATTAGCTGGAGGAAAAAGAAGTAACCTTGGAAAAGCTGATAGCGCTTGATTGTGAGCCTTGAGCTGTTATGGGCTGTGGTTAGACCTCTTAGAAGAACAACTGCTCCTGAGCTAATTATGGCAACATGACTGGGCATGCACACACATTTTCCGTGCTGCTTTGGCATCACCTGATGGGAAGCCGTATGAGGAAGAAGTCACAGTAAAACCCTTCTGTGAGTATTCTGGGATGTGTCCTGCAGCTCTGCTTTAGTCCTAGTGTGAGATGTTTGGCCTGGATCAGTTCTAAGTATGAAAATAATAATTCCTTATGTAATAGACAATAATAATATCAAATTAAACTGCTGTGTAAGACTACACTGAAATTTCTTATCCCAGTAGCTGTCTGTGAGAAGCATCAGTGTGGTCAGGATGTGGTCCTGGTATTTAATCGCTGCTGCTGTTCCATCCTGTCATCTAACCCCCCCCCCCCCCCAGTGCTGCTCACCTCATCTGCACCATGAGGATAAAGGGGTGACATCTTCCTTGCCAACATGGGAAAACAAGGGTTCTGCAAACCCTTTGGAAGCAAGAGATTTTACATGATGTGGTATGAAGCAGGCAAAACTGATTGAAGGAAGCCAACTCTCCTGGCTGAAGCTTTTAATTTTGTCTGTATCATTCCCAATGACCTGTTATTATTTTTTGCATAGTAATACAAAGTTCTACTCAATGCTTCCTTGATGCAAGCTTTTGGAGAAATGCAAGCTGGCATCTCCAAAAATCAGGGTATCCTGCTGTTGGAACCAAATACTAAAAAAAACAAACAAAGAACTCTAAAAACCCAACCCTTTCTCCCCCAGCATGATTCATGGCTTTGGGAAATTACGTCCTGCTGCACAAAGATGCCGTTTCTTTGTCCAAACCTAACGCTGTGCTATCAGCTTTTCCTCTTCCTTCCACAACATCATTCTCTCATGCTTGTGTTCCTATCACAGCTGAGCTTGGGCACAGTATTTTGTATACATTCATGCTATTTCTACCACCTGTTGGGAAAAAGACCCAAACCCTTATATCAAATGTTAGCAGAATCTCACGTGCTGTACTTACAGCGTAGCTTGGTGTTTCTCCCTCTTCTCTTATGCCTCAAAGGATTGAACTGGAGGGATTCCTGCGCTCTTTAAATGCAGGGGCTGCTGCTTCTGGCCCTATAGGCAGGGAGGGGAGGGGAAGGAGAGAGGGCTTTGGGGATCTGAGCAATGCCATTGCTATCACCAAGCTGAAAATAGCTGCTGACAAAAGCCTGGCATTTCATTCCCTTGTGTCCACTTGTGAGTAGGTGGACAACAATGCAGCCCCTCAGATGACACCTACGGCACATTCCTGAAGGCAGCCTAATGGATCATAAATAAAGATGAAAGCTCAGTAGTTGCTGGAGTGTTGCTTAGATGTGGAACGTAAGAATCCTGAAATGAGAGCTTAGTCATAGTCACATTGCCAAAAATAATTTACCAAAGTAATTATAAGTGTTATATATATGTGTGTCTGTGTTTTGTAGGAAGCCCCTGTGAGTTTAAGTATTTGCAGAGCAAGATGCTTCTTTTGCTTTGTGACTTTTTTTGGTGGCAAAACAAACTCTAACACCACCGATTTTCATGTAATTAAGTAATTTAGCTTATTTCTACAGTTATAAATGGGATTTCCAGAGTTTTAAGTAGATTGTGGCGCGTGGTCTGTCTTTTTTCCTGCAGTTTCTTTCACCACTTTTCCTGTGTCAGTAATGAGTGTGGGGTCATCCAGAAGCAGGAATCCCTCCTGCTGGAATCCAGACCTTATACCCTATCTAACAGTGAGTATCTCTTGTCCAGAAAGCAAGATAATTGTTCACACCCCTTGCTGATTGAATACCATTTTCCCCTTCTTCAGAATACATTTATCCTTCTCTGACAAAAAAAAACAAAAAACAAAAAAACAAAAAACCACTGATGTACAACTCCAGTCATTTAATTTCATTAAACAAAACCAAGTCAGAATGAGTTTGTAATTTTTGTCTGAATGAGTTATTTTTACAATACAGTATAAATAATTCTTAACTCATATAAAACTTAAGATTTTTTGTTAAAGATTTTTTTAAACTAACTTTACAAAAGAGAATCACTGAACATAGGAGCAAAAGAAATTCTAACTATGGTCTTTCAGTAAAACATGAAATATGTACGTGCTCAAAGTACTTTCTTTGTGCAAAATATGTACTGATTGATAGACTATCCTTCTGTACAAAGACAATTTCAGCTTACTTTGCATAGCAGAAAAACAACACAGAAGACATGAGATACAAAACTCAGTTGCTGTAATACTTTAGGTAAGCCTTGTGTAAAAATACTTAGCCTTAACTTTCTCAGTAAAGCCAGTTTTAATTCTAAAGCATTCAGGCTATTCCAGTATTGCTGTCTTGCCAATTCACATCCAAAACACACCTTGTCCATTGTAGAACTCATTGTGTGCAGTGTGTTATCAGTAATTATGCCTGCTAAAACAGTCAGTAACTCAATATCCAAAGATCAGTTTTCTGACACTTCAAGTTTTCGTTGAGGAATATATGAGGTTCCTTGAGAGATTGTGTCAGTACCACCTGCGTTTGCAGACAGCAGAGGCACTGTGTTTGGCCCTCCTGGTGTGTGGAAAAGGTTTTCTGTCATTGTCTGAGGCTCTGGGGGTTCCTTCAACACAGTAGGCTAAAAGAAAAGGGAAAGCTAACTTTCAGTTAAGGAAAAGTAGTCAGTTCTAGTTGTAGGTTTCTGCAGAATGTTAGCAAACAAATTTCTTCCTGAAATTTAAAAATCTATCTGCTCTCTATGGAGAATAGTGTCCTCCTTTTCATTGCTATACATCTACATATCCATATTTATCTGCATCTATATCTACATTGATAGAAATAAACTGATTTCTCACATCTCCTTCTATCTCCTTTTTCAATACAAACTGTAGGCAATACAGTATTATACAAATAGAAGCTGAGAGCAAATTAGGAGGATACCAAGGAAAGATAAGGCAATAAACAGTATAAGTGTTTGTCATTTCACATCCATCCAACATCCTCTCAAAGGCTCTTCACCCTTGTCATCCTTCAGTTTCTCCTGCTGGCTCCACTTTCTTTTCTCCTCGTTTTTTTTTTTTTTTTTTTTTTGGAAGGCAGTGCTGTATTATGAATTAAAATTGAAAAAGTGTTCTTTTTAAAATTTTACCTGCTTAAGGAATTACTACACTATTCTTTCCCACTCAACCTATGGTTAAGCAATTACAATATATTGTTTCTTACCTTTTCTTCTTGTAAGGTCATGTTTTCTGAGCTATGGTTAACACTTTCTGGTTTTG